ATCATTAAAAGTTCAAAATTCATTGTTTAAATTTTGAACCAGCCTGGTGTGACTCCTATTGCACCATTTTGGGCCATAATAGAATGCCTAGGCCTGTTTTTATTTTTATTATTTTTTTTGCCCGCCCGCCCCATTATTTTTCTAGAAAAATCCATTGACCAAGAAATTAAATTGGTGTGGCCTTAAGGATCATTTTCCATTCCATTATAATTCATACAGTCAACCGTTACATACAATTATTAAGCACTAAATAAATTCCTGGTAAAATTCATTCTTTGGTTTTCAAGTTATGTATGCTTACAAACCAATTAAAGTTCTAAGCATATCAGCCAGGTAGTACAATGTATGTCAAATTATCCATTAAGAAGATTTTTAGGTCCATTTTAATTTCTACGAAGCAGTGTAGCAGTGTGTGGTAAATTATCATTAAAAATACCAAAATGCTGCTAGATTCAATGGCATTCTTAATTCTTTTAAGTACCCTAATTCTAAAATGATGCTTTGGTACCAACATAGTCAACAAAGAGTACACAGAATGCCAACTAAAGAGAAAATTAAATTGGTACAGTCCAGCGAGTCCTAGTGCAAGTGAACCATGTACAGATAAGGGCAGGTCTTCTGCATTATTACCTGTTGAGCTAGCGAGACCCTAGGGGGCCTTGTCAGTAATCAGGCGTAACCGTGGAGACAATTTCACAAAGGTGAGGGTAGTCAGCATAACCTTAGTCCTTGGGACCCTTCCATTTTAGTAGTGTAGGGAGGAGACATGCATTATTTTCTTGTAATCTCCAAGCAGATCTCTTTCGGTGGCAAGACAGTATCCATTAGCCAGAGAAGGTTGCCGGCCATCGATGTTGGTGAGGGTAGTGACAAAAAAAAAACGACCATGTATTAAAAGCTAATGATCATTCCCCCACAACCTCTGCTTGGAGAGTAATTGTCTTTGAGTTAGACTATTATTTTCTGGTAATAACAACTGGGTTAGCCTTAGGGTAAACTGTGATCACAGCAATGCAATAAACCTGATTTTCCTCAACAGAGGAGTATCATGCTAAAGTAAAATACCATGAAAGGGAGCATGGACATTTTTGTGTTCTATCATAATTTATTCCAGCCTATAAGTTATAGAGGCACCAACAGCTGTTCCTATATAGCTTTATCCTGTTTAAATTCTTGGTTGATCCAGGTTCTAATGGACTGGAGCCATGAGTTTGGAGTACAGTCTTGAAATTTGTTTTACACTTGAGCTCAAGAAAGATGGAACAGTCTTCTTGCATCTGAAGTTTAATTCAGACCCTGTTCATACCAGACTTATATTTAGCGGTTTCAACCGGTTTTTCAAAAACCGGTTTTTATTTAACCTGGTGTGAACGCAAATTAACCGGTTTTTTAGGGGCTTAAATCCGATTTTCAAAAACCACCTCGGGAGGTGGTTTTTGAGGGGTTTTTGAGGGGTTTTTCCACCAAAAAACCTGGTCTGAACGCTAAGGGTTTATTGAACCGGTTTTTGCGTCATAATTCTGGGGTCACGGGGTCAGCATCCTGGCCGTGTGCTACCTCCAAGCTTTTTTGATCGCGCTGTTTAGACCGTTTCCACTGTTTTTCCACGGTTTCTCTTCATTTTTACGATGGAATCAGCCAACGCAACCTGGTCGGTGGACGAGACGCTCCCGATACGTATTTTTGGAGAGCAGGAGTTGATCGCCGAATTCGAAAAAGCTGGGGGGAGGGCTCTATTGAGGTCTCTACCGAAACAAAAATGTTGGAGGAGCCTCACCAGGTAATGGCCGATTAACCGGATATTCACTGGACAGGGTTTTTGAAAAACCGGTTTTGTAAGTCTGGTGTGAACGCAACGGGTTTTTGCCGGGTTAATTATTTAGCGGTTTCAACCGGTTTATATAAGTCTGGTATGAACAGGGTCTCAGTCAGATATACAAAATGGCAAAACAGGCCTGTATGCATGTTTCTTGATATTATGTTAACCCCCTGATTACAAGGTACATCACACTGACTGAGAGGTTTCGGTTTTCTTTGGAATTAAAAACAAGCATCTATATCCACACACTGGATCTGGCTTGTCCAGAATATTAGTCTTGAGATCATACATCAAACATTTCTGGCCTTGACCCAGATAACATGTTAGAATCCAGCTTTGACTTGAATAGATGGAACCAGGTTGTTTTCATGAACCCAGCTTTGTCGGAATACTTACCTGTTCAGAACCCTTCATCCTGTGACATTACCAGAGCCTAGAAAACTCTAAGGTATGTTGTCAAGTCTGCAATACAAACTGTCAATGTTAGTGTTTTGTTACAGAATAGGGATATGACAATACAACCCACCTTTTGCCTCAGGGCGCAACAAATCTGCGGCTGAAAAATAGAGGGGTGGCGGAAGTTAGAATACTGCGGCTCTTTTTGTACTACTACTAGGACGAAAACTCTAAGATTATAACATCCTGGTTCTAATTACCACCATGTCGTAATTAAGGGTTAATGACCCGCCCCAAGGTGAATATGGTGTGATAAAGCCTTGTCAGTTGCTATAACCACCGAATAAAGCCACCAAGTGAGCGCAGCAAATTGGCTATATGATAATCATTGCCATATCTACGATGTTGCACAGAATGGAACCATCCTTTGTTTATCGTTACATGTATTTCCAATGGTAGGAAGTACAAAGATTGTAACTGTTGTATCTTTATTGCACCATCACCATTTATAACACAATGGTGATAATGGTTCTTATATATCATAATATTTTAGTTTAATAATATGAATTTAAATTTAAAGTTTTTAAAATTAGTACAAATTTTGTACCCAGCTGGGCAGTTACAGATTAATGAAGCGGTGAATAAAAAAGAAAAAGAAAAACTTTTCGTCATGATCTTCTGTTCTGACCTTCCATGAAATCTAAAAATAGTTCAAATCAACATCATATTGTTTGGGGACAACTGTACACTTTCATCGGGGACAACTGTTGCACTAGATACCTGGACATTATTTGCAACAGCTGAGTGCAAAAACAATGTACACTCTTAGATCCCCCTGACACTTTGACATTGTTCAAACAATTTTTCTTCCCGAGGAGCTTTTAATCGTTTGGACAAGCAAACAAGAAACGCAAACAACCTGTGACAAAATGTAACAAGTTGTAAAAGGCAGCAGCAGGGCGTTTGTAAATATAGGGCAACGTTCTCGGTTTTAAAAAGAGGTCTCTACTGTAAAATGTTGCAGACGTCTTTGTGAGGTTTGTGTATACACAATACAGTCGTGAATGCGACAGAAAAAGATGAATAGTTCCTATAGATTACCAAGTGAAAGGAGGGACTACAAAGCAACGATTGTGCTGAATTGAATAAGGCTTGTCGGCGGCCATGTTGGTACCCCATTTGTACATATCACGTTCGTTTTGTTCAGTAACTACTCAAGTATTTTCTACTCTACGAATTAAATTAGGAAACAGGGTGGTTGCTAGTAGGGTTAGCCAAATATCTGACCCAAAACCCACCTTTTTCTGGCATCCTAGAGCGGGTAAACGAGGCGATGCGGCGCGCCGTCGTGTGAGATTTTTGATGGAGCCCTCGGATGAGCAGCTACCTTTGTTTTTACTCCAATTGGTTTCCTCTTGTCGGCATAGCTACCTTTCCGCGACTCCGGTTTTCTAGTTCTGCCCTTCGTGAGCCAAGCAGAACGACTTGCTGTTGGGTATTTCTCAGATAATTTGCTTCAGGGCGCATGCAAAATCGGTGCTCTGCTTACGAAGTCATTTCCTGCTCGCTCGCGCTAACTGTTGCAGACGAATACAAAAGCACCTTCCGTCAAACCACCGCTCCGATCGTGCCAGGAAGTAATTAACAGCGATTGAAGTGGTTCCGACAGACAACTGGGCGAGAATACTTCTTCTAGTTCCGACCGGGAAAGCAGGAAATTGTTCTTTGGAGGCACAGAATGAAGCACTCCGGTAACCTCACAGTTCCGCTGCTTGGCCCTGCCACAATGTTTGCGAAATTGATTCAAGTCACGTGGTTCAACTGACGTACATGACCCCGCATTGACCTCACATTTCGCGGAATTTTTTTTTTACAGGCAATTGTTTACAAGGTGACAATTTGATGTTTCATGTGGATTCTGGAAGAATATCAAATGTCTTGGAATGTGACACTTTGATGAAGAACCTCAAATGTCTTGAAAGGGTTTTGACAGCCCATCGGCGGTGGTCTGATCCTTGGTCTGATATAACGTTACATGTTACCTTTAGTCAATATAAAATAGATCATGCTAAAAACAAAACGCAGATTAATATAGCGTCAAATGGCGATTAAGATTTAAAAATTTTTTTTTATTAATGAAATTTCCCTGCAGTACCCAACGAAATCATTCTTCAAAGTACATCCTCACTTTCGGAGCACAACATGATAAAAAGTTTGTTGTTTGATTGATTGATTGATTGAAAGATCGATTGGCAATTAAAGTTTGTTCCCCCCGAACAATGTATCGCTTCATAAATCATGTTGTTTAGACACCATTTTTTGTCTTGGTATATTCAAGGAGCTTTAAATACAGCTCCGTCAATGGCATATTGTATAACGTGTTACAGCCAATAAAAATGCAAAGACTCACTTTGAGCACAGTTGATTGTTTCCAATTTATTCGAATATTCATGGTGATACATTTAAATTACAGCAAACCAGGCGAAACAAACAAACGAACAAACAAACAAAAAACAGCTTGCAATATCACGCAAATAAAAATTCGACATTTCTAAAGCTTTCTTGCAAGTTTGAGGAAGCCGCTAGGCCGCGCTTCTACACCACACCATTAGTTGTCCGTTGAAATTGCATTCAGTGGCATTAACGTTAACGTTAGGGCTTTACTTCTTCATTAAAAGTAACTATAGCATTTCCTATTATCAATCAAGTAAAGCAAAATGTTAAAATTTGCACTAGCTGTTTATAACAATATAAGAAATGTTTATATAACGTCTCAGTCATAGATGCGGCGAAAGTAAGACGTCACGGCGTGGAACATTAACTCTAGTTAGATTTTCTTTTCTTGCAAGACAAGACTGCGTGACTCCAAGAGTTCGTGTGTTCCGCCGTACGGCAGATCCTTTAGCCTCAGGGACGCCTTACAGTAACTAGCCAAGTCTTCAGTCAGAGAGGAGTCCGTAACGGTGACAATGAACGTCACACTCCCGCCACCAAGCGCACCACACGCATGCTTCATCTGTAAAACCAGGTGACTTTTCGCTAACTGTCTGTCCTTGCAATGTATCGCGAAGTAGCACACAACACCTCGCGACGTGGCATAGCTTCCCCCAACGCTCAGGCTCTTCACTGCGGGTCCACTTCGATCAACAAGGATGTAGCATTTCCTCTCTTCCAAAGTTTTCATGTTCTCCAGGGAAAAACTGTAGGCATCTGTGTCATCCAAGACGGTTCTCCCCGGCAGGATTTTGGAGGCGAATTCGTCCGCTAGCATTCGCTTCATGTCCATGTGCTTAAAAGACTTGATGGTTGATGCCGTTGACTGCATGGATCTCTCCTGGTCCTCAACTTTGGCAGTGAGCGCCTCTACATCTGCTTGGAGGAACATTGTCTCCTATTTGGATGAAAAGAAAAAAATGAAACGTCAATACATAGAAGTTTATATTGCAATTATTGCTGTATAACCCTGCAGTTTAAAGCATATTCAATCCACAAATACACTATTATGATTTGAGTAATTGATCATTTCTTCAATGGAACATCGCAAGCGACCAAACGCATTGTACTATAAGCGCTTTCAGTATTTTCACATTTATTTATGCCTATACGGATTATCTGTTTCTGACAACCTTACCACTTTGAACTTAGATTTGACGGCCAGACCCAGCCTTTTGATAAGCTGTGGTGCCTTGGCGTCCACCATTGTCCTGAAGGTTCGCAGTTTCGGGCTCTCCTTGAACATTTCCGTAAGGAGCAACCTCCTGAGTCCGATACTCAAGCCCCTCCCCCTCCAGTCAGGTGAGATCCGGAACGTCTTCAGGTAGATAGTTTCACCTGAGTCATCCGTCCAGGTCACCATTATTGCTACCTGATTGTTAAAGAACAGTTATGAGTGGCACTGGCAATATCCACTGCACGAAATCATGAAACATACGTTAAGTACACGCTAGGGAAGAAACTAAACCTTTATGACCTTTATACGATACTTTAAGAAGGATTTTGTGCAGTGATTCCCCCATGGCACTCTTGATTCATGAATTACGCTAGTCGCACTAATAACAGTTTTCCGATTTATACATAAAAGTTCATATGTAGCAGTTATATGTGTTGGTATTGACTAGATTACTCGCACAATCACAACGCGATTGCCTAAATATCACAAATATCCACTGAAAGATCTAGAATGTATCACTATATCACAAGTTCTACCTGGTATGAAAGGCCGGGGCGCCATTGACTACGGTTACCTTAATACATTGTTCAATGTCACTATCGGCAATGTTTATAGATCACAGAAAGAATATTTTCCTGAGGTAAAGCAGAAATATATTACAGTCATACCGGCACTTTTTCTTCCGTCCATGCCAGTCGCAGCGTCACGGCAGGGTCGTCCACCCATCGGTGATAGAGGGCGGGCAGGTAGTCATAGCCGTGCCGCCAGGATTCCAGCGTCAAGACGGCGTCATAATCCACGTGCATGGCATCGCGGATCTTAAGCTTGGCCAAGACGTCTTGGTCGTGACCTTGCACTTGATCTGACATGGTAAAATGCGATGTTTATATCAGGACCTGGTCGCCTGTCAAGTTAGTTGAGGTGTCAAGGCTGAGATGGTATACTAGTACGCGTCAGAAAACTCGTTTGGCAAGTTACTGTTACTAGTAGAGGGCAAAGGTGGCCAATATTTGGTTACCGGTGATGCTAATAGATATAGGCACGCGCATTACAAACTACATTGTACTAGTAGTTAAGTTGTATTCGTAGTATATTTGTCCAAACAATTTTTATAACATTGCCCGAAGTTTGACACCTAACGTTAGGCATATATTTGACGACCACGTTATTAATAAAAAAATTCTATTAATTTCCTTTGCATTGATTATTTACGGTGATATCATTCCTTTCTGTAACGTTATAAGATTATTGCTACAAAAATTAAACGTTGTTCATAGAATGAGAGAGGGAAAGAGCAAACTGCAATGCGAGCCGGAACACCCCTACACGATAGTGTCATCGTCCGAAATCGATTCACAGGACGGGTTTCTTAGGCGTTTCCTGATTGGTTAGCTCCATCCAATGACAATTGATTTGACAACATGAGCCGAAACTTTCAATATGGCCGCTTTCTGAAATAGAAAATCGCGTTTCTCCAACAGATTTTCCGTTTTTACTCCGCAAAATTGTGCGCTAATTGGGCAAAAGCCATACATTTTGAGCAGGACATAACTGGGAGTCTCTAACCAGACCAAGAAGGATGGGAGTGCCGAAATTCTACCGCTGGACTAGCGAGAGGTACCCTTGCCTCAGCGAAGTTGTCAAGGAAAATCAGGTAGGCCGACGTTACATCACATTTTCCAGCCCATCTTAAATGAATAATGTTAACCACCTTTCTCAGATAAATCCTTCATCGCTTGCAAGAATAGCCTGACACTTGTATATAATATCTATCTTGACGATGTTATGAAATTTGTTATGAAAAAGAAGGGATCCGGGTGGAAGGCAGATGTTATAAATCACATCAATCATCGAGTTACGAAATCGCGAAAGAAATTATATCGCGATGAGTCTGTCCATAATTTATGTAGTGACATATTCTACCACTTTGAACACATAAATATTTCTAGTCTGTGTTTATATATGAATAACTTTGATTTATCATGTTTGTTGCTCTCCAACACTGAAAATCCCTAGACTAAACACAACTTACAGCATTATTATATTATAATACTGCCATTATTCACGTGATTCACTTACAAATGACTTTTCACCCTTCACCATACATGAGTTAGGTAGAGCACGTCGGCAGAATGTACTGCACCTGCGCGAAACCCGTAATGTATTGTACATAGCATTTCAGCAGAAAGTCTCATATAAGGTTGTATTCGCTCATGATATAGTCATATAAGGTTAGCATTTCGACAGTACTTTCCAAATGTTGTGTCGGAAAGAATATCCTCTGCAACAGGCAAAATTCTGATGCAACGTTGACCAAAAACCCAACGAAAAACGCGAAAATACAGGGTTCTGTGTTCTGCCGACGTGCTGTTAGGTAGGCATGTCTGTTCAAAAGAACTTCTATATACTGTATTATAATTTGCTCAAATGTTAAGACAATGAATTGCTTCAAATGTAAAGTCATTTCTCTTTTTTTTTTCAGATCCCAGAGTTTGACAACTTGTACTTGGACATGAACGGAATCATCCACCAGTGTTCTCACCCTGACGATGATAACCCTCACTTCAGGATCACTGAGGAGAAGATCTTTGCTGATATTTTCCACTACATCGAGGTGTGCCAGAGACTTAGCATGCTTTGAATGGTGGTGCATACCTAAACCCACATTTAGGTTCAGGTCCGGATTCAAGTCCAGAGGTTTAGGTTCAGTCTGGACCTAAACCCATGGCATATACCAAATTGCATGTTGGCAACCTTGCAATGTTGTCTAGGTGAACCTTTGGCCACATAACATGGAGGCCGGTACTTGACGATGCCCGATGGCAATGTTTTCTTCATTTTGCAGCAAAGATTTTGCAATCTACGGAAGGTTTTAGGTGGTTTGGAAAGAAAAGGGGTATGTGAAATGGCCTTTTATGGTAATAAGTCCGGACTCGGTTCTTGACTTTTAGTTTTTTTTGGACTTGAACCTAAACATTCTTACAAGTCCGGATCCAAGTCCAGTGAACCGGTATGCAGCACTAGCTTTGAATGAATGAATGAATCTTTATTCAACTGGCAGACTTACATATGGCCTGAATTTTGTTGAATTTATAAGCAGCTTTAAAAATTTGCATACAAAGTAAAAAAAATACAAACATTATCAATTATTCACATTAAAATACACTTATCATATATATTCATCTTCTAGAAATGCATGTATTGGTCAGGATTGGTGCATAAAGCACTTATTCATATATATACTTGTTCTTGACAACACATTTTATAAGCATCCTTTTCATCAAAGAGAGAGAACTTACTAATGACCAGTATTGCACGGACCAAATCATTTTTCTGAAACTTATCCTGACCACAGAGATGTGCATGCCTTCGGATGTTTTGCGAAAGATCAAGTTGGTAACTATATTGAAAATAACTGAAATGGTAAGAGTAATGTCCCAGAATATCAGGCTCAGAATGTCCATTATAGAATGAATGATTGAATCAGGTTCCATAGTACTAAATTATGTATGTATTGTATGTGCAAATTGCAATGTACTAGTATATTGGTAGTAATTGAAGGAAATGCTGTTTAATAAGAGCAACGTACTGATACTGAAGCATGGGTTGATGATCTATTTTCTCCTTGTAATGTACTTGTAGTTCCTGTTCCGTATCATCAAGCCGAGGAAAGTGTTCTTCATGGCGGTGGACGGTGTCGCTCCTCGTGCCAAGATGAACCAGCAGAGAGGCAGGAGGTTCAGGTCAGACTTTTAGTTTTTAGTACACTAATTTAATTATAGCAGTGCTCTGTATTCATATTAGTTCATACAAAAAAAATTGATGCAGGGCATGCTAAAGATTAAATTTGTAACACTTTAAGTAAAAAGTTTTATATGTAAAGATGTGGGTTTTAAAAGTTTTAATCTTGAACGCATAAGACTTACAGTTGTTTCTTTTGAAAAAAAAAACAGGTCTGCTCGTGAAGCTGAAGAAAACCAGAAGAAGGCCCTGGAGAAGGGAGAGATTCTTCCCAAGGAGGAGAGATTTGACTCCAACTGTATCACCCCTGGTTAGTAGTTTTAGTGGTTTTATTATTCCACTCAACTTCCAGTTCTGATTGAGTCCGCTGATTTGTAGTAAGTAAAATTGCTAGGATTTGTAGATATGCCAGAGTGATTTATGCTATGTATCTTTATACATAGATATACATTTTGCAAATTTGATGTTACTTTAATCCAATGGACAATAAAAGAATAGCGGTAGTACCTTACTTACCATAGACCCTAGCTCCTCCCATACCTCCTTTTGAGGCACATATTGCCATGTCATAATATGTCACATAGCCTGGTATTTTGATACCTGTCACATATCCTTATAGCCTAGGCGATCGGTGCGAAAATTGCTCAAATGGTGATAAAAGCATGAAACTTGGCACAAATGTTCTACACGACACTAGAAACAATATCAGGGGTGGAGCCATCGCGAACTGTCCGTTGCCTAGCAACTGTTGCTAGGCAACATGCTTTTCCAAGAAAACAATGTATTAGGAAGCTAGTACCTGCTAATTTGTGCCTGAAAACCAATTATAATGTGAAAAAATGAGGTGTATTACTGTATCTGACATCACTTTTTAAATCTAAATAAATTTTAAGCCATTGTAAAGCACAATGAGCTTCAAAAAGCTGATACTTTTTGGAATTTTTAATAGAAAAGTGTAGAAATTAGATCTAATAATCATGCATATTTTCCCGTTACCTATGGGGCCTTGAAAGGCATATTTGATTGATAGACCTGAACATTCTCTGAATGGTAAACTTTAAATTTCAAAAATCCATCAGTTCTATCAGGAGATATAAGTGTTTGAAGATTAACACATCCACAGACTTAAATCAGTAGTTTGGTTGCTATGGCCGTTGCTAGGGACGGCTTGGGCTGTGGTATGCACAGGAATAGATGCTAAAATTTTATTTTTCTGCCAGCTTTTGCGTTGTTTGTGTGTACAGAAATGCAGGTAAGAGATGCCTGGTGTCTGCATATAAAAATGATGCAATATTTCTCTCTTACAAGAGGATTTTTACAAAAACTTTAGAAGCGCTGTTAAGGTTGTTGGTAAGAACGCGTTTGGCATACTCACAACATGTTGTACTTGTAGTAGGATTCACAACTTTGCTACACGGTGAAAAGAACAATGGAACAGAACAGTAGAACACCTGTTCTAGATCCCCTGTTCTAGATCCCATCTGTTACGGATTCAAATCACTTTTCCTGTGCGCACCTTGTGAAGGGGTCATGTTTCAAGTCAGGTGAGTGCTTCTCTTTTCTGTCAAAAGATGTTTAACGATATCCAGCATCAGTTAGGGCAATGTCCGTGGTCCCAATACAGAAATGTCTATAGTAAGGTTGAGCTATTCCGTACGAGTGAAAATACTATACGCAGAGGGCAGGCAAAGTAATACGTTTTGTATTCACAAAGGTTTTAACAAATGGTTTGGAGAAGGAATAAAATCATTAGCTCTATCTTCAAATTTACAGATATTTGTAAAGGATAAAGATGTGAAACTAGAAAAATAGCACTGCCATCACAACTGATAACGTAAAAAGCCATACTGCAATAAATCTATTTTATTTACAGGTCTCACCGCAACGTTAAACATGTCAACTGACTGGTCAATATGTGCCCTTTGTCAGATAAACTCGAAGGAACCTCTAACATGTCCTACTGAGGCTGGTTACGAAACCATAGCGAAGAATATTATCCAATTTGAGGAACTGGACTGCTTGCCACTTAAGATAGACATTGCAAATCTGGACAATGGAAATGGAATCGTGTCCACCTTTACAGAACAACATGCAAAGTGGCATAAATCGTGTTACTTAAAGCTTAGTAATACTAAACTGGAACGTGCTAAGGAGCGAAAGCGGAAAAGCAGTGAAGACGATGAAACAACCATTGTAAGGCCAAAACGAGTATTCACGCGTAGCACACCGACAACTGGAAATACAGATGTCTTGGACGTACCTCTGGACAATAGCTTGTGCTTCTTTTGTGCCAAAGGAGGGACAAAAGAGCCACTTCATGAAGCATCTACATTCCAGCTTGACGACCGTGTGAGGAAGTGTGCTTATGCATTGCAAGATGAAGATTTACTTGCAAAACTTAGTGCTGGGGATCTGATTGCCCTTGAGGCGAAGTATCACGCAAGATGTCTTGCCAACCTGTATAATAAAGCAAGAAGCGCAGTCCCTCAGGATCCGGGGTTTTCAAATGAAGAAACGTGCCAAGGCCTTGCATTGGCGGAGCTAATATCATACATAGAGGAGAGGAGGCACGATGACGGAGTAAAGGTTTTCAGACTTGCTGACCTAGTACAGCTGTACACCAAGAGACTGGACCAGTTTGGACTGGATCCATCAAGACGCGTGAATAGTACTCATCTCAAAGACAGAATACTTATACATCTTACAAGTATGCGGGCATACAAGAAGGGTAGAGATGTGTACATGGCATATGAGGATGATGTGGGGACTACGCTTCGTGATGGGTACCAAAATGACAGAGATGAGCAAAGTGTCGCAATGACAAAAATTGCAAACATGATAAGACTGGAGATATTTGATCAAAAGGTAGAATTCTCCGGGTATTTTGATCATGACAGCCAGGTAGAATCTGTTCCTCGGTCACTGTTATCACTTGTCGGCATGATCATCAATGGATCCAACATAACGCATCAGACCTATGACGCAAATCTCAGCCAGCCAGTCCTATCCATTGCACAACTTTTGATGTACAACTGTGTCAAAAGACATCGTAACAATGTAAAAGTACATCAAGTCGTTCACAACAGGGATCGTGAAGTGCCTCTTCCAGTCTTCGTGGGACTTAAAGTCCATGCACTAACAAGGAAGCGGCAGCTTGTCGATAGTCTGTTCGATCTTGGAGTCTCAGCCTCCTATGATCGTATCATGGATATAGTCACTTCATTGGGTAATAATGTCTGCGACTACTATCAGCATATTGGCACAGTATGCCCTCCCCAGATTCAAAAAGGGCAGTTCATCACGGCTGCTGCCGATAACATTGATCACAACCCCAGCTCTTCCACATCTACCGGTTCATTTCATGGTACCAGCCTGTCCTTGTTTCAGAATTCCGTGGACAACAACATCTCAAGTGAGAGCAACAGTACTTTCACCAATACAATAACAACTGTGAAGGGTCAAAGAAAAGTGATGGATTTGCCCATAGTCTACACTGAAGTAAAGCCAACAGGTCTCCCATCAAGTGACGTGTATGTTCCACTCTATGCTGGAAACATGACATCTAGCCTTGATACTCTGAAGGTAGAGATGGAAAAAGAGGTTTGCTGGCTGAGTCACGTTGAGGAACTATATGCAGATGACATATCCTCTGAATCAAATGTGTCTTGGGCTGCTTACCATGCCAACCAGATAGAAGAATCAGACACCGTGCCATCCGTCAATGCAATGCTGCCACTGTTTTCTGAAGAGGCCAATTCCCCGTCCATGATGCGACATTGCTTCGATGTCATTAAGGCAGCTGTGCAATATGCAAACCCCGGCCAGATTCCAGTCATAAGTGTAGACCAGCCACTTTTCGCTAAAATGAAACAACTCCAATGGTGTATGGACAGCCTGTATGGTGAGGACAAGTTTGTCATACTGCTGGGTGGACTACACATAGAAATGACTTCGTTCAAAATGCTGGGCCAATGGCTGGAAGGTAGCGGTTGGGTCGAAGCTATTCAAGAGGCAAAGCTTGCAACCTCTGGTACAGCTGAGTCATTCCTGAAAGCATCACACATCACACGTACCCGGCATGCCCATCAAGTCACTGCTTGTGTCTTGTATCTATTGCTGAGGAAGGCATATGATGAGTATGTCACGACTACTACATATGGTCCTCCGATGAGTTTTGATGTCTGGTGCATACAGCGAAAGGCTGAACACCCACAGTTCATGTACTGGTACACGACGCTTGAGCTGGAGTTGCTTGTCTTGGCATTCGTTCGTTCATTACGAACAGGCAACTTTGACTTGTATAGGGACACGCTAACTGAGCTGACCCCTTGGCTGTTTGCTCTGAATCATACACACTACGCCCGATGGATGCCAGTTCACGTGAGAGACATGTGTAACCTAGACAGTACCCATCCTGATGTTGCTCAAGAATTCCGATCCGGCAAGTTCGTCATGTCCAAGTCCAGACGAAAGTTTTCCCTCTTGGCTATTGATCAAGGACATGAGCAAAACAATGGCTTGATGAAAGAAGATGGTGGGATCATTGGCTTGACACAGGATGCCGATGCCATTCTGCGATGGGCTGTAGCAGGGCCAGAACTTGTCCGTGTCATTTCTGAATTTGAGAAATCTATGACAGGGAAAAAGGAAGGTGCTTATCAGAAAAAACACCATGAGCAAACTAACTCCACCCAAAAGCTTTTTGCTACGCAAGTAAAGGCACTGGTAACCACGATGGGAGAAATGGGTAACCCGTTTACAGAAGAAAGTCAGGACCTTCTCAGGCTACATACTAAGGACATCATGTCGAAGGAATCGGTAGAGTTCCTGTCAAATGTAAAGATCAAGGGCCAAGAGCAGTATCAAACCTTTGTACACGAGCGTCTCAAATCAAATGCCAAGGCAATAACTGCTGGCATCAGCAGAAACAAGGTGATATTGTTCAATGAACATTTTCAGAAACCAAACAATGCCTGTATGAAGATCAATCTCCTCAAGAATGAATCTTCTCTGTTTGCAAGATTATACATAGCATGTCAAACAAGAGATGGAGACCTTGACAACTTCTTTGCACATGAAAATCACCCGTTTCCTCCTTCCCTCTCATCCTATGGGCACTTACGTCTGGGAAAGAAGGCAGACCTCATGTGTTGTCTTGAGGAACGTGTTGCTGAGTCCACCATCTATGCAAGGCCAGATGCAGATGTGATGATCATGGATGGTGCGGTCCTTGTAAACATTCTCAGACCGGGTGCATGCAAGACTTTTGACGAATATGCGACAAAGCTATTTGTTCCATATGTAAACAGGGAACAGAATCACGTACAACGTGCAGACATTGTTTGGGACCGGTACTTCGACAACAGCCTGAAGTCACAGACCAGGGAAAAGCGGGCTGCGGGACCAAGTCAGAGAAGACGCGTGGAAGGGTCAAGTCCCATACCAAAGAACTGGCAACAGTTTCTTCGCCTCAATAGCAACAAGATTGAGCTGTTTGAATTCCTAACTGCAACCTTGGTGGATTGTGCATCAGCAGACCACCCTCTGGTTTTAACAGATGGCCCCAACGTACAGTGTGTGCCTCCAAGGGATACATCCCGCATTGCTCCATGCAATCATGAGGAAGCAGACTCAAGGATTATGGTGCATGTTGCTGATGCAGCTGCAGAAGGCTTTCGGAAGATAATGGTTCGTACTGTGGATACTGATGTCGTTGTTCTTGCCGTGGCAGCGGTACAGCAGTTAGGTGAGATAGAGCTTTGGATAGCATTTGGCACGGGCAAGGAATTCCGCTACATCCCAGCGCATGAGATATGCGAATCACTTGGACCACAAAAATCCATGGCACTCCCTGTATTCCATGCCTTTACAGGCTGTGACACCGTGTCCCAGTTTGCTCAAGTGGGAAAGAAGACAGCATGGAAAGTGTGGGAAACACATGATGAAATCACAAGCACATTCTATGACCTGCACAATGCACCAGACCAAGTATCAAGTGATGCAGAAGCTGCTCTTGAGTACTTCACAATCCTACTGTATGACCGGACATCAACATATAACTCAATTGATACTGTCAGAAAGCTGCTGTTCACACGTAAAGGCCGACAGATGTCAGCACTCCCTCCCACCAAGGCCGCCCTTCAACAACATATCAGGAGAGCTGTTCTACAAGGTGGCCACCACTGGGGCAACTGTACCATGGCCTGTCGCCAGTTGCCTTGCCCTGCAGAGTGGGGATGGACATGCCCAGAGGAATGGAGGCCTTTGTGGACGAACCTGCCTGAGGCTAGAGAATCATGCCCAGAGCTGTTGCAGTGCAGGTGTAGGACCCGGTGTGAAGACTGTAAATGTGCACGAGCCCAACTGAAATGTACCATGTACTGCACTTGCAAGGGGGATTGTAACAATGCATAAAGGAATGTAATATTATGTTAATGATATAACGTAAAATATGTCGATTTACTCATCTTAGGACGTTATTTTAACTTGACAATTGTAGCATTAATTGAATTTTATATCTAGGTATTAGACTTTTTGTAATCGGAAAATGCTACATGATACTTTACTTTTTTCAAGAAGAAGTGACTGATAGTGTTGTGGATGCTACTCTATCTAGGACTTCGGAAAACATTCATTAGCAGATGTCCTAATGCATTCAGAGAAAATGCCCAAGCTGATATCTTGATATATTTTGATGTAAATCTTGACATATGGTTGTATGGGTTGACTTTGAGATCTTGTTAAATGCTAACCTTGATAAAGATGTAATTGAATCTTGGTTTGTTTCAACAATCCGTGCTATCCCCATGCCAACTATTTGGTCATTAGGTCGTAATAAAGTTGCACAAACTAATCTAGTAAAATCCATTTTGGCTATTTTATCTCATATAAGCTGAATAATAGGATTCTGAATGCCTGTACCTAATAAAAGTGCCCCAAAGCTATCCCCCTGTCCATCTATGCCCAATTTCAATTGACGAGACCATAATACAGTGCGTCAGAAGCCAATATTGTATACACTTTTGGTTATTTTCAACGAAAAAAGCTAAATTATGGAATTTTTCAAGCTTTAAGTCTGCATCAAAAACATGAAACACACTATCTTAGTGCATAGTGCCAAGCTATCCCCATACAGAAACTTGGGTTATTTGGCCGTCATATAGTTGTACAGAAGCCAATAATATACATTTTCGCTTATTTTTACCCAAAATAAGCTAAATCATACAAGTTTTCAGGCATGAATCTAAAACATAAAATTCACAATTATTGCGCATAAAACCAAGCTATCCTCATGCCAAATTTCATGCCGTTGGACCTTAATGTAGTGGCACAAAAGCCAAAATGACCACAGCCCAAAAATTAAGCCGTCCCTATAGCAACGGCCATAGCAACCAATCTACTGATTTAAGTCTGTAGATGTGTCATTCTTCAAACACTTATATCTCCTGATAGAACTGATGGATTTTTGAAATTTAAAGTTTACCATTCAGAGAATGTTCAGCTCTATCAATCAAATATGCTTTTCAAGGCCCCATAGGTAACGAGACAATATGCATGATTATAAAATCTACTTTATACATTTTTCGACCTATAATTCCCCCCAAAACCAGCCTTTTATGGTGAGTTTTGTTTTGAAATGGCTTAAGATTGACTTAAACATACAAAGTGATGTCAGATACAGCAATACACCTTATTTTTGCACAATATATTTGGTTTTTAGGCATACTTAGAAGGCAATAATACTGTTTTGTTGGAAAAACAAGTTGCCTAGCAACCGTTGCTAAGTAACACACTTTTTGCAATGGCTCCACCCCTGAAAATGTTAATTAGGTACTCATGCTTCAGCATGCCAAGTCTCATGCTTTTATCACAAACTGAGCAATTCTACCCATATTTTGCACCGATCGCCTAGACTATTAGTTCAGTTGCTGGTAACAGAAGAAAATAAAGGGTGAACATTTTTGTGTGATGACCTCTGATTTTGCACCTTGTGTTTCAGGTACTCACTTCATGGTGCGTCTGAACGAACAGCTGAAATACTTTGTGAACAAGAAGATCACCACTGACAGGATGTGGCAGGGCATCAGGGTTTATCTGTCTGGACATGAGGTACTAGTAATTAAGTTAGGTAGCAACCAATGGAATCTTCTAGAATGTGAGTGAGTCATACGAATCCTAAGAACCCTACAGAGGTCAAAATTTGGCGCATATTACCAATTGTAGAGATGTCAATCTTCAATCTATATTTGCAGATTTTCTAAAAAAGACAGAAGTTTTTGCTTTAGCTGGGAAATTATGTATGTTAGTCATAAGACTAGAAATATGTCACAAATTTTTATGATAGATGGGAAAAAACATTGTTGCAGAAGATAGTTACTTGTAAGAGATGTTGTAATTTAAACATCGGATGCATTTCTTCAGGTGTTGTTAACATATTGCCTTTGCTTTCCAACAGTCTCCAGGTGAAGGTGAACACAAGATCATGGAGTTTATCCGCTACGAGAAGTCTCGGCCGGAGTACAACGCCAACACCCGGCACTGTCTGTACGGCCTAGACGCTGATCTGGTCAGTCATACCTCTTGTAGATGCTCTAAATTGATAGTTACATATCTTATTACCTGGATATGACTATAGGTAAGAGCTAAGTAGTTGTACCGGTACTAATAGTACTTGTAGCGTTAATTATTTTCATTTATTAAAAAAACTTTTATTTTTTACAGATCATGTTAGGACTTACCTCTCATGAACCACATTTCTCCTTGCTGAGAGAGGAGGTGAAATTTGGTGGAAAGAAATCTCAGAAAAGGTAAAGACATCTGTGATTTACTCTGTGTTGAAATTGTTTCAGTCACTGGAATATACTGTTAAGAAGAATCTTTTTGGAAATCCAGTATTAGAATATTCTGTACATGCTCAAGTCTCTTTCATTTCACGTTTTTGTTCTTTGTCATTCATAAAAGGCCAGTTTGAATGAGAGATGATATTTATGAATTATGTCCTTTGTAGAATTTCCGTCCCAGAAGAAATCACCTTCCACCTGTTGCACCTGTCCCTGATGAGGGAGTACCTGGATTTTGAGTTCCAGGAGTTGAAGGTGAGACAGCATGGCCAGATCCTGGACTACTGCTTTATGAATTTATAAATGAGGAAACAAATGCCAAGGATATGGTGGAAGTCCTGGTAGGGGTGCAGTATATAACAATATACCTAATCAAATACTGTATGTGCTTTCAAGTGTGAAGATTATATTGATCAAAACATTCATTTTAAGTTAGTACTATATATTCAAGATAGTAGGAACTGAGTGTTTGCTTTGTCAGGTGTTTTAAAGGCATCCAATGCGATTTCAGGGCAGCAAAACTGGAAATATTCTGAATAAGGTAATCTTTATAATGCTGACACATACTGCTTCACATTAGCGCATTTCAATCAGTATTTCATACTTTGGGTATTTAAAACTGCAGACACAGGTCCCAAAATGAGTCCTTTATTTTATGGGATGAACCCTAAAATCAGCCAAGGGTCCTTCCAGTAACAATTTTCTGTCAGAATTTTGGATATTTTTACTCTATGAGGGTCAATATACACTGGGATAGTGTTGTTTCAACTCAGTATGTAGATAAATAGCTAGAATATTGACTTTGAAAAATCTGGTTTCCAAGCCCTAAAAACTGCACAGGATGCCTTTAAAAGGTTGATAGAGTTTGTGGATGTACTTTATCAAGAATGTTTGTAATGGACCTGTGTTGTTGACAGGATAAGTTGTCGTTTGGCTATGACCTGGAGAGAATCATCGATGACTGGGTCCTGATGGGATTCCTGGTGGGAAATGACTTCATCCCACACCTGCCTAACCTCCACATCCACCACAGCGGGCTGCCTCTACTCTACAGGACATACATCAACGTCATGCCCACTCTCGACGGGTACCTCAATGAAGCAGGGACTCTGAACCTTCACAGGTGTGCTGTATTAACCTTCAGACTGCTGAGGCAGCCTTGTCATGGAATATTTCTGTGGTTTATGGGGATAATCAGCAGGGAGAATGCTAAAGCAACATCCTTAAATTGTGTTATTTTGATGGTAGGTGAGGTCTTGTATGATCTAAAAGTTGTGTTGACTGCTAGTAGCACTGACAAAATGTGTTATGCAAGAGTCAATAACTTATTAGTAGTATAGTCAGTGGATACACACACGCACGCACACACACACACTCACTATCCAGTTTAGCATCTGTTGTTCCCCGTCTTCCAAGTGTTAAACATGCTTGCACACCGATGCTGAGGCTTGATGCATGGCAGCCAGCCATTTGCCTCTATCCTGTAGGTTGACGTTATGTAGATTGGTTTACACATAGTATCTCTGCATTATCATTTCTTGGAACCTAACAGGTTTGGAAAGTTCCTGGAAGCTCTGGCAGCATTTGACCGAGAACACTTCCGTGAGATCTTTAGCGACCTGAACTGGCTGGCCGGGAAGACGGGAGCCACGCCCACGAGGGGACGGAAGGGCGGCGGAGCGAGGAAATCCAGCACGCCGCAGCGAGCAAATGGGAGGCCGTCGCTCCCGTCTACAGGCGGTAAGCGGAAGAAACGTGTATCAGGCAAGGCTCTTCTGTTATGTTTTGTTTTGGTTATGAAGTTTTCATTTTTTTCCTGTGTGCAGTCATGCGTTACTGTATTTGTGTTCATTTCTGTCCATTTTATTTGTTGGCTCATGCACCATCCAGTTTGTTTTTTGTCTTCATTCTTGTTTCTACATTCTGTTATCACAAGCTGCAAATGGATTGTTATGAAAACTGGATCATCATTCTTATCATTATTTATTACTCTGGCTATGGAGAGTTTTTAGTATATGTACCAACACAAGCAATGAAACAATGAAAAAACAGAAACAAAACCAAGAAATAAAGATTCAGAATTTGAAGAGAAACAGGATATAGGACTAGCCCCTTTAAAAGTAATAAAATTCTGTTTTTTTTTTTCAAAATGAATTGTGTGTGTCAAAAAGCAAACTTGGCAGATGGCACTAAAAACTAAACATTCTTGACTGCCATTAAAAAAAAAATTGGACCTGATCTTGGGAACTGCAGGAGATGAAAGTTGAGCAAGCAGCATCTGTACTGTATCAGTAGACCAGTGTTACTGACATGATGCCTGTGCTAACTTTAGGGCTGCGACTCAGTAACCAGTTTGGTGCTCTCGGAGACAACACGGACGACTCCCTACTAGATGACTCCATCGTAGATGAAGAAGAGACAGAGGAAGACCCAGCCATATCTGTAGCAAAAGGTTTGTTTCCCTAAAAGATTGAATCCATCATAGATTAAAAAGATTGCCTGGTTTTTATCTTCATTGAGAAAGAGAGAATCAGTTTTTGTCCCAAAGATTTGAAGTGTATGTAGTTAAACCATGAGGTAGTTTACCTGTGATGCACAAACATGCTGGTAACTACAGTATAATTACAAACAGGCTTGACTTAACCTTCAGAATACTAAGGTAGCTATTTAGCACCAAACTTGTATTGGCTGTGGGGTTAGGCAGCAGGGAGAAGGTTAATGGTCACTTGTACATATTAGGTGTTGATTTGTGTTCTCTGTTTTGCAGCTCTGGCTGAAGGCAGAAGGGAAGAGCAGGAAGATGTGGATGATTCTTTTGAGGCCGATTTCTTGCTGCACAGAATTGCTTACTATGAGAACAAGTTCAAGTTTGAGAAAGTTACTGAGTAAGGATGTATATTTATCTTTTTAATCTCTGATGAGATCATTCATGATCATCCTTCTTATAACTGAAGAATTTTATTTCAGCAATGCATGCTGTAAACATAGATTAATGATAAGCATTTCTTTGCAAATAGTAATTGACATTGTGCATTTAGAAAATGTTACATAAATAATTGTAAATTTTGTTCCTTGCTGTGCTTAGTGAGATCCTGAGAGACCTAGCCTATCAGTATGTCCTGGCTATACAGTGGATCCTACACTACTACTACAATGGAGTCCAGTCGTGGAGTTGGTTAGTATTGATGGCCTTCTTTTACTGTTACCGAATGCCGTACACTGTACTGTTAAGTGTTTCCCTCTGACACACTAAATAGAATCATTGCTTAGAAATTTCAAAAGATGCTTTTATAGTAATCTTTTTACAAAGAGAAAGGTTTAGAAAGCTACTTAGAATGAAAATACTGCTGTAAATTCGTGCAGTATTTTCCTAACTGTAGTGACCAAATTTCTTGATATGATCAAGGACATTATAATGTCCTAGATATGATAGAACATTGTAATCAGTGACTTCCATTTAGCTATCAATTGCCATAAACAGTGTGTTCCACAAGGAAGCATACTTGGCGTAAAATCTAGTAGATTCAAGTACATCAGCAGTAACAACCTGAATTGTGTCCTGTGTTCCAGGTACTACCCGTTCCACTATGCCCCTTACCTGACTGACATTGTGAACATAGCCAACATGAAGCTGGTGTTTGACATGGGGAAGCCCTTCTTGCCATTTGAACAGTTGTTGGGAGTTTTGCCTGCAGCCAGTAGAAAACATCTGCCCAGTCCATACCATGTAAGTAAAAAAAGAGCTCCCCTCATTCTTTGTATACGTAACTACATGTAGTGTATGTTGATGAAGGTTAGACATCCAAGTATCAAGATATGCCAAAAAACGGTTAGAAACTGACATAAGGTAGTGGATGCTTACTGAAATGTCTGACTGTTCCATTATTATTTCCAGTACTGTTGCTTGATTAACTGATTTTTGGCATACATGTATCTTTGCCGCAGTGATACTAAGAGTACTGATCCATACATTTGCCATTTAAAGATGTTGTATAATATATGTCACACATCATACAAAAATGCATGTCTTCATATCTTATTGTGAGAAGCTAGACATCAATTCGCTATATAACTGTAACCGAGGTTGGATCTCAACAGAACACATTTTTGACACCATGACAAAAATGACAGGGAACTGGAGCTCACAATTTTTTCCGGCTTTCTGTTAGAGCCTGATGGTTATGGAGGAGTCCCCCATCATTGAGTACTACCCTGTGGACTTTGAGACAGACCTGAATGGGAAAATGCAGGAGTGGGAGGCTGTTGTTCTCATTCCCTTCATTGATGAGGTAAGTCCTATGGGGCCTTGGAGTTCATATGAGGTGTGTTCTATGGGGCCTTTGGGTACTTAGGAGACCAGTAGCACGTCAGCAGAACGTACTGCACCTGCACGAAACCTGTAATGTTTTGTGCACAGCACTGAATCAGCAGAACGTCTCATATAAGGTCGTATTCGCGCATATAAGGCCACGCCAATTTAATTTCTTGGTTAACGGATTTTTCTACAAAAATAATGGAGCGGGCGGGCGAAAAAAAAATAAAAATAAAAACAGGCCTAGGCATCCTATTATGGCCCAAAATGGTACGATAGGAGCCATGAAGTCAACACACCATGCTCGTTCAAAATTTAAACAGTGAATTTTGAACTTATAATGATACCATTGCATTAAAAGATGGAATAACTGCAACAACTAGGATGAAAAGGACTGTTTTCAACTGTTCAGGGCAAAATATGAGTAGTTTGCAGTTGATTCTAAATTTTTATTTTTATTTGCAAATAAAATCAGAAAAAAATGAAGCGGCGAATCCGTTAACCAAGAAATTAAATTGGTGTGGCCTAAGGTAAACACTCCGTCTGTAGTTTCCAAATGTTATGTTGGAAAAAATATCATCTGCAACAGGCAAAATTCTGTTGACCAAAAATCCAACGAAAACCGTGAAAAATGGGGGTTTTGCGCAGGCGCGGTACGTTCTGCCGACATGCTGATACCAGTATGTAAAAGTGACAAAATCTAGTCTGGAACAGAAAACAATGTAACTTTGTCGGTGTTAGGGATAGTGAATCAAACTTGTACAAATAAAAACTATAATGTATTTTTGATATTACACACCTTTATTCATGTACATGTATCTAGTACTAGTACAACTGCAAAGCACAGTACATTGCTGTATATCATCATCATCAATGCACCAGCGCTTTACTGGGTTTTGTGCGAGTACACTTACAATCTACCGGTATGCCTTTTCAGAAACGACTGCTGGATGCGATGAAGCCGTGTAACTCCCGTCTGAACTCAGAAGAGAAGGCGAGGAACGGCCACAAACCGCACATGTTGTACACCTACGACCCCAACCTCAGCTTCTGCTACCCCTCCTCACTGCCGGGGGTTTTCCCTGAAATAGAATGCTGCAAGGCTAAGTAAGTAGTTTTGCATGATGTCTATCTTCATATGAGAACTAAAGGTGTATGTCATGGCTCTAGCCAGCTTGACTTTTTTCTCTGTCAGCCCGGGCTTACAATGTAGAGGGGTCGGTGAGCAAATTTGAGATTTTAAAGCCCATGAAAACACAATTTTCCACATTTTGAGAGGAAAATCATGGGGTTGAGAGTAGTTGTTGGTGGTCCTTTGGACGTTTTATATTTTTACCAAATATACTTTGCAATTATACCTGCACACTCCCTATTTGGGTATATCGTTTACCTTATGCAGTATTTCCTATGCTTATCGCTAGGTGGCGCACGTGTACAAAGCTTTAATCGCAAAGCATCACGGGATATCATGACGTAATGACTATGTTCGCCGCCATTTTCCTTGTGCGAACGCCAAGGGGTGCACGTTGTTTCCCTACTCCTTATTTTTTCGGATTTTCTTTCGGCGTTATGCCCAAAAAGAAGGATAAAACGAAGTCTTCTGCCCACGGGGGCGATTCAGGTAGCCTTTCGGAGGACCAGACAGGTCGGAATGGCAAGAGAAGTGGTCAGTTTCCCAACGCTAGGCAGGCAAAATTCCTTGCCGTGGAAAAGACAGGCGTGCCTGCACTTGCCTCCGGACAGGAGGAAGAGGAGTCGGGTGAACGAAAAGTCCCCGCTCCTACAGCTGGAGGTTCGGAGGGAAAAGAGAAGAACTCCAACCTCATTCCGCCGTTTGTGGAGCGAAATGCCCCTTCGGCGTTGGCACTGGGAAAATCGGTCAAGGAAGGAGACGGCGCGGAGCTGCCGCTGCCCCGGCCCAAAATTCCTCCGGGCTCGGAGGAGTTGGGCTCCCCGACCATGCCGAAGCTTGGTCGGGAAAAGTCTCCTCCACCCCCACCTCCACCAGGAACACCCTTCCCGCCTGGATTCGACGCTGCCTCTTTTCTTCAGTGGGTCAGTTCCAGCCTGGGACTTCCTCAGGCGTCCAGTTCATCCCGTCAACCTCGGGACGTTGACGGGGCGGTAGCGTCGACCAGCCGAGCCGGCGTAGTCGGTTCCGGGCGCAAGCATCCAGGTTCGGAAGTGGAAGAGTGCTCGGAGGAGGGGGAAATCGCCATTTCGGACTCTGAAGAGTCGGATGAAGGTACTAGTAACTCCTTGTCATTCGATAATCCTTACGATAAGAAAGGGAAAGAATCTGAACTTCCCGAGCAAGTCGCTACATTTTTGAGCGAGGTCTTTACTCATAAATTGACTTATGCGGAGTTCAAGGAGAGGAAGGAAGCTTTTCCAACTCCACCTAGCGTGGAGTTAGCGCTTCGGGCACCCATTCTAGACCCAGTAGTGGCGAATATGATTAAGCACGACACCGTTAATACGGATAAGAATTTTAGTGATTGTCAGGATAAGATGCTCATGGCTGCTAACCCTCTGGTGGAGCTTTTAGCGGCAGTTAAGGGTTCGGACCATCCCCTGAACCCAAATGCTGTGTGCAAAGCGATAGAATCGTCCTTGGTCTTTTTGGGTTCAGCTTCCTCTACTATGACTCAGTACAGACGTGAATTGTGCGGTAGGGACATGAAACAGGATATGAAGCATGTTTTTAAGACCGACTTGCCCACTGGTTCTTCCAAATACTTGTTTGGAGACACCTTTTTGGAGAAGGTTAATACAGCCGATCAGGCTAGATGCACCTTGAGTAAGGCTTATAAGCCAGCTCCTTCGAGCACTGCTAGGGCTAGGGACAGGTTTCAGTCCAACCGCTCAAAGTTTAGCTATAACTACAACAAGTACTCCTCAAACTCAAAGGGTTACAATTTTCGTCCCTACTATAACAACAACAACAACTACAACAATGCTAGACCATGGTCAAATGCCGGGGGTAAGAAAACCTCGGGGTTTCGTTCAGCGCAGGGCACAAAAGGCCCAAACAAACAGTAGCTCTTCCTCGTCATCAGACTCTGCTCTGTTCTCCGGTTCAGCACGCAGGGCGAACAGCTTTTTCAATGAAAAACTGGGAAAGGATTTCAACAGACAGATGGCTTTTGCAAACAGTTCGGGGTTACCGTATAGAATGGGAGTCCACTCCAGTTCAGTTCGTTCAGCGGGTCACAAATATATCTGGGGAGGACAGAGCAAAGGTTGTAGACGAGGAAGTGCACAGTATGTTGGAGA